GGGTTCGATTCCCGCACGGTACGAACTGGATACGCAGTTTTTTGTCTCATCTTAAAATATTCACGCGAAAATAATGCCCGCACTTAAAAAATTGCTGTGAAATATTCGACGAATATCCCCAAATATTCTCCAAATATCCCTAAACATTCGCAAAGTTTTCGAATGCTTTCAAATATTAACAAAACAAAAAAGAGAAAGACCGACGCAACGTCTCCGACAAAAATCCCCGCAAGGGTTTCCCGGCTCTCCTTATCGGTTTCGCTTCGTCATATTCTTCCAAAAGATTGGCCGCAAACAAGAGGCCTCATCCGTCTCCACGTGGCGGCGCTTCGATAAAACCTCGCGCCACACTTTGCGGCACGCTGCGGCGTTTTTTGTCGCAAATAAGAAAAATGCCAAAGCATATAACAACGAAAAAGCCGCGAAAGCTTTCGCAAAAAATCTGCCAGGTTGCTGACCGTTTTCCGAGTCCCTTAGCCGTTTCGAATTCGCGAAATGTCCTCCCTTAATGGTTTCGACTTTCGTGCGGGTATCGGTTTCGAGGGGTCGCGCTCTAACCTCGCGAGGCTCTTAGGCGAAACCGTTAAGGGACAGGGGTGCCCCTGGGCCGTTTTCGATACTTTGCGACTTTTCTGCGCAGTTTGGTACGGCGGCCCCGATATCGCGGAGCCAGTTCCCATTTCCTTTCCCCTTTTCTCATTTCCTTAGCGGTTTCGCCTGCGTCTTTCCGCGCTCTGACCAGATGCCTCCGCCCTTCCCCTATCGGTTTCGCCGCTCGCTCGGCGTGCCCGTCTTCTCTGCAATCCCTCCGGCTACCGATAGAAACCAAACGAGACGACCGGCGACACCATCACGCACGGGCTCGCCCTCCTTTTTAAGAGTCTGGGACATCCTTAACGGGAAAGGCTAAACCTGTGCGCCTGTAGCTCTCAGAAGTGCGCCCGGTATAGGTAGCACACACACACACACACGAAGGAAGCCAAGGGGATGACTTCAATTGCGAGCGCCTTCCGGTAAGACCACAGAAGCTAGGGGAGACGCCCTGTCTGGCGCATCGTCCCGCTGGCGGCCTCGGCCGCCAGGGACGATGGGGCGTGGGCTAGTCCTTCAGCGACGCGGCCGCCTGTCTGGAGCATCCCCCCGCCCCCCTTGTACAGGGTTACATGGTTGGGCACAGTCGGGGGACGCATTCTGCGCCGCAGACTCGTTATTTTTGTTCACAGTCGCGCAAACGTTTGACCTTGTACAAGGGGGGCGGGGGGCGAGATGGTCACGCGCTGCCCCCTCGTCCCTGGCGGCCTAGGGCTGCCAGAGGGACGGCGCGCCACGCTGCGCTGTTGGGCGCGTGGTGTGCGCCGCAGAATCCAGCGCGAACAGCCCAGCATGGCAACCCTCTGCCCCATACGGCCGCCAGAGGGACGACGCGCCACGGCGCAGAGATTAGACACACGACAGGAGCACACGAGGGGAGCACATGCGAAGACGCAGAACACAAGAAGCAGCCAGGCCAGAAGAACACAGACCGACCAAACTGGAACAAAGACGAGCCAAGCCAGGGGAACACAAGCCGACCAACGTGAAACAACCAGACGGCGACGGCCTCGCTCGCGTATCTCGCGAAATGAAAGAAGTGGAGGCAGATGGAGGCGCGCGCGGTTTTATCGAAAAGCAGCCACGTGGAGACCGATGGGGCCCCCCGTCTGTGGCCAGTCTTTTGGAAGAATACGACGAAGCGATAAGGAGAGCCGGGAAACCCTTGCGGAGATTTTTGCCGGAGACGCTGCGCCGGTCTTTTTCTTTTTTGTTTTGTTAATATTGGAGGGCATTCGAATACCTTGAGAACCTTTGGAGAATATTATATGAATTTTTCAAAGCAATTTTCTAAGTGCGGGAATCGTTCTCGCGTGAATGTTTTGGAATAAGACAAAACCTTGCGCATCCAGTTCGCACCATGCGGGAATCGAACTCGATAAGAGGGTCCGGGCATGCTCATCGAGTTCCGCGATAAGTTCTCCTAGTGGGGCTATCTGGGCGATCAGATGTGGCCACGCTTCTCATTAAAAAAGAAAGCGCTGGAACTTCTTCCAAGTGTTTTTTTTTTTTGAATCAGAAGCGCGCCCGCATCAGGCTCAGCCCGCCCATGTAGCCCCACGAGGAGCACTTGTCGCGGAACTCGGTGAGCATGTCCGGGCCCTCTTAGCGAGTTCGATTCCCGCACGGTACGAACTGGGTGCGCGGTTTTTTGCGTCTTCTTTTAAAATATTCGCGCGAAAATTATTCCCGCACTCAGAGAAATGCGCTCAAATATGCGACGAATATTCCAACACATTCTCCGAATATTATAAAATAGGCGCAAAGTATTCGAGTCTTATTAAGTACTCACATAAGAAAGACGCAAAAGGAAAAGACCGTCGCAACGTCTCCGACAAAAATCGCCGCAAGGTTTTCCCGGCTCTCCTTATCGGTTTCGCCTCCTCCTGTTCTTCCAAGAGATTGGCCACAAACGGGAGGCCCCTTCGGTCTCCACGTGGCGGAGCTTCCATAAAACCTCGCGCGACACTTTGTGGCGCGCTGCGGCATTTTGTGTCGCAAATAGGAAAAAAGCCAAAGCATATAAGAACGAAAAAGCCGCGAAAGCTTTCGCCGGAAATCTGTCAGGCTGTTGACCGTTTTGCGAGTCCCTTAGCCGTTTCGAATTCGCGAAATGTCCTCCCTTAATGGTTTCGACATTCGTGCGGGTATCGGTTTCGAGGGGTAAAAGATCTGGTCTCCCTGCGAAACTGTTAGGCGAAACCAGTAAGGTCCAACTTACGCGGAGGCGCTAGCCGAAGCGCTTTGCGGTAGGTCATCGACTTGGTGCCCCCGCCTGCTTCTCATTCGATGACCCCGGCGGCGCGGGGTAGCTAACTAGCTCGGTTCTGAGCGAGCAAGAGGCCGCCGCGCGCGTCACGCCAAGCCCCGCCCACATCACAGGTTGGGCCATCCTGGCTCCTGAGCGCCTCGCCACACCCTGACAAGGAGCACACCCCGCACAGCTCCCGCGGTATCTTGAGCAACTTCCTCCAGCCTTATAGAGGGCGGCGTGGCCCCTACCGCATCCCCCCCCTGCCGGCCTCGGCGGCGCCACGTTCAAACGCCTTAACAGCGTCACCCAAAAGGCCTCGGCGGTGTGCTTTTTTCTTCCCCGTTAGTACTTAGGAAAATCGCGCGGAATCTTTCCGAACAGTCTCCACGGCGTGGAGCCGCTGCAGGCGACAGCAAGCAAGCGCCGACGCAGGCTGGCGGCAAGGCTTCCCCTGCTGGTGTGGCTGGGTCCCCGCGCCCCCGTTGAATCCGCCAGCGGTTTGCGTCTGGCCGGAACGATTCAACGGGGATCGGGGACACGACCGGCAGAAACGCCGCCGGACGTGGCTCGCGCCACGCGGTCGGCAAAAACCGGGGAAGGCGACGGCGACACCTACTAGCGAGGCCCACCAGCGTCAGCGGCCGACTTTTCCCTTTTAGTACTGCAAAAGAGAAGCGGCCGCCCCTCAAGTCTGAAACGAGTGGGGACACATCTGCCACCTCGGACGGGGTGCCAAGTCTCTGCACCCAAGCTTTCTCCCTCAAAAGGAGGCCGCAGACGCTGGCGCGCGTCGTTCGTTGTTTTCGCTATAGCTTCACCGGGTTTTCGTGAGCGTTTTTGCCGAACATCTGTGGCCAGCGTTCTCGGCGCCTCCCGTCTTGTGACGGTCTCGGCCACTTTCGGCGGCCTCGGTCAAAGCAATTTTGGCCGCGTTAATCGGCGGCGCAACGTCAGGCGAAAAAGGTCGCCTCTCGTGGCGCTATAGAGGCGGGAAAAGCTTCCGGATGCTGATGCCCCACCGGGCATCCACCGCGAAGCTTTGGCCCACAGGGGATCGACTGCAGACCTGCCGCCGCTGTCCTTCGGCCGAGTGCGGATAGGGATGGCACTGCCCGCGTGCCCGGCGCCGCCTTCGCGCGTTGGTCCAAAGGCCGCGCCAGCCTTGGCGCCACCGGACGGATTAGCAGCGCGCGGCCCAACGCCGAAGCGGTTTGGGCCGGCTTTGGCGAAGCTCGCTAAGGATGTAGCGGACACGGGAGTGGCCTCCAAGGACGTGGCGCTGCGCTCCCCATTTCACACCGGCTGCACGCTCGCACGAGGAAGAGCGTGGAGCGGGTGCGAAACCGTAGCTGCCAGCTGCTGGAGCCGTCGCCCCGATTTCTGCCCGCGTATTGTCTGTCAAGGCCCCTAATCTGCGCGGGGATCCAATGCGGGCCCGTGTTGGTAGCCCGCTATCATGTTCAAAGCCGGCCGTGCTTGTTTCTCCTCTTGCTGCTCTGCATCGAAGTCGCGAGGATCTACTCCTCCATCGTGTCTGCCCGCCGCGTTAGTGAGATTGGAGCATCCCCGAAAAACCGAAGCCCGACCTATTTGCGGTAAGGTAGTCCGGGTTAACAATTTGTCATCGCAGAGCGAGACGGACGGAAGCCATTCATGAGGAGGCCATGCTTCTGAACGAGAGGACCATTCGTGCGAGACCATCGGTGAGAAGACAACTCGAGAAAACTGACACGAAAACGCGCGCAGCGCGACGCGCCCTTGAACCCCGTGGGCGCGGTCGGCCTCCTGCCCCAAGCCCCACTGCGGCGGCTTAGCTGCGAGCACAGGGACAGGCTCCGCTTTTCGCCCCGTGACCCAAGACGGCCGCGGCGGGTCGCTGCACGGTGCATGGGGCCACAAGTCCGCAAGCGGTGGCCACGCTTTTGGCGATATGCTCCAAGCCAGGCAGCCCGCCTTTCTATTTTTTGACGGCGTAAACTGGAGCAAGAATCGCAGGGCGTGACTCGTGTGAAGCACTGAAGAAGGGGCTAGTGCGTGCGCCGTCGAAGAGTTCGAATAAAGCTACACGGCCTGCCGACGCGTGGGGGCACTCCTGCAGCTGTAGACGCAGGCGCCCTCCCAAGTTGTAAGGCGGGACGTCTCGTGTGTCTTGCGGTGTGTTGAACTTCTGCTCGAAGTAAAGCGGTGAGCCTGCAAACAAAAAAATGGCTGAGAAAATGTTCCTGCAAATGGTGGCTTGAATGAATCAAACAGGATTTTTTTTTTATCTCTAATCTCCTTACTTAAATATTTTCTATTGCATGAGTATGAGTATTCTTCTGAGTGAATGAGTGGGTGCTTGGATGAATTTTCTCTTTTCTCGCGTACTTCCTTTTGCTGCGTTCTCGACTCGCAGCAATAATTTTTTTTGTCTCTCTGAGTGTTGTTTCATTATAGTCTAAGCACAACCTTCGCAGGGCTTCAGTTCAGAATCGCTAGTTCTATGCCATAAAGAGGATGAAGCAGTTGTGCTTTTTTACGCGATAACTGAATATACGTCACAGGATGTCAGGAACCAGTTGGCAAGGCCATTCTCAGAAATAGGTAGACTCACTAGATTTAGTGCTTGGCTGATTGATATTAGATCACAACACGGCGAAGCATGAATCCCTCATGATTTCCGGTACTAGTAGTGCCTGTAGCTGTGTTTTCCATCCTATGCGTAGCCCTATCGTGGGAAAATCCCCAGGAAAATATTACGCACGTTTGGGAATAGATTCAATTCACGACTGAGGATACGTGAACAGGCCAACGCCTAAACGACGGGGCCAGCGACTATCATCACCAGCAGGATCACCATCATCAGTCATCTTCGTAAATTCTGGATCTATCACTATCTATTGCCAAGGAACTCTTAGGCACGTTGCTGGCCCTTATAAGTCATTTTTTAGGCCCTTCTCTTCTAGTCCTTGAGCATCAGTTCCTTCTCTTCTAGTCTTTGAGTATCGGTCTTCTTCAATGAATGAATTGAGACACAAGTGTACTAATCCTGTACTTGAGTAAGAGAGACAAAAAATGTATCAATTCGAGGAATTTTTGCGCGCGCCTGACAAAGTGGAAAACGGATCGCAGAAAGCACCGACCCTGCAGTGGTGGCAGAATCTCCGACAACATTTCCGAAATGTTAAGGCAGATGTCATTGTCGAAATATGCGATGCCATTTTTTTTCAGACAGTCTCAGAAGATGTACATGTAGTAAAAGTCGCAGTAGGGTAGTTACTTTTACAATCTCCGAAGCAGGTGTAGCAGGAGTCGTGTTAAGCATTGTGAAGGAAGTCATTTTTTGCCATGTAAGATAGCCATTCATATTCTCAATCCCAGACGGCGGCTTCGTAGTTCAAATTTATTCCTTCAATATATTTCAGCCCCCTCATTTTTTTTGGAATTATTCACACTAGGTGGGCTATTGGTCTAACAATACCCTCAATTATTGGTCTCCTTCCTGCGTTAGAGAGTTAGACTTTTTAGTCTAAAGATATAAATGTGTACTCGAACTACCTCTCTGACCAACGGGTTGTACGCTCCTACGATTACTATTATTTTTACTACGACTTCTCCTAATACTGGGCATACTACTGCTACTACTAGCTCTACACTCACTCGATGTTCTGGCGTTCGACAGTAATGAACCGATTCAAGAAGGTACTGGGCATACT